TATAACAACTCAATGATGTGCATTATGGGAGTGTATCAATAAAAATAATTTTATTGGAACACTGGCTAAGGAAGACCACTCTTGCATCTAAAATGTCTTTGAAGTATTTTTAATGAAGAATAACAACTAATAAACACTTAATGACTTCAGAGTATATTTCATACATGACATGTTGGAAATTTAGCAGCTGAATAACTGATCTCAGCATGTGATCTTAGAAATTGCAGGAGCTTTTGGTGAGGGAATAATTTTTATGTAGCTCAGCCATTGCTCGCCTTCTATAGATGCACTTTGGGAAGTGCTGGATAAATCAAGGTATAGCTAACATTCAGTAATTAGGTGAGAAATCTGGATGAGACATTCACATTTTATTATTTATGAAAAGCTTATGTTCAAAGGTAACTTTGTTTGAAAGCACACTTGTGTAAAGAAACTGTAATGGCTTATTTTGAAACAGGCTGCGTTGAGATTGATGCCACCTTATTTTGAGAATTCTGTGGTATCTTTTGAAATTCACCAGACAAGTCAAAATTCAGCTAATTAGAAATCACAGCGTATTTTGTCATATTTTTGATAGAAGAACTGATCCATAATAATAGTTACTACAATGTTGGATTGATTAATCTTTGAGAAAGGTTAAGCTTGTGTATCTTTGTAAAGAATAAATATTTTCATCTCACTTTATGTACAGTTTAATGCAGGTTTTTAAGGCTTCTTCAACAGAAGTAGCACTATAGAGTTTGATTGGAGCAATGCTTTGATATCTGGCTTTGAATATGACCAAGTATCTTTCCTCAGGCACCATGGCTGCCACCCACCAATGTTCTATAGCTGAATTTGTTATTTTAATGGACATCAGCAGTGTAATGTAGGTGCAAACGATTGAGCTCTTCTTAAAACTACATGTGTAATTTCTCATTTATTTTCAGGGATAACTTAATGATCTCGCAGGCATTCTGAGTTACTGGACCAAAGTTAGGGCAGAGAGATTTTGTGAAATACGGTGTTTCTGTACTTTAAAGAAAGCCCCAGTGGATTTTGTAAGAATTTTTCACATTCTCATGGCACTCTACCTATAGATGTAATTGGAGCATTTGGTCAGAAAGTGTGGATTTTGTGGCTGAAAATGGAGACTCATGATAAATAACTGTCCTGCTATACGTTAGCATCAAGTTGAATGAAAAAGGATGTGCTGTTCCAACAGCAGTAAATGCTCTTTGGCTTCCCCTTTTGCTGCTTCATCCTACTGACTCAAATGAGACTTAAGCAGCGTTGCTGCATGAGTTGCTTTGCAGTGTTGGAAAATGTTCATTCTGTGTTCTGGCTCTGAGTTGTTACTCATTGGGAAAGATTTGCTGTGATAAAAGATCTGATCAGATCAAATAGATTCTTCTCTGAGCCTTCATAGTTAGCATTTGAAGCCACTTGCTCATGATAGAACATTTGATTGGAAAATATATGTTGCATCTTCTAGAATTGTGACAGGCATTTTAAGAGCTGATTTGTAGTATTACAATTAGAAGACCTATGTGGTTTTTTTGTTGTTGTTCCGAAGTATCTCATACAAGGCATAACAGTGTAGTGTTATATAATTCTGAATCATCTTCTGTTGCTTTCATAGTGTTTCAAGGTGCATTTCTGATTTGGTAGTTACTTGCCAGAGGCTTATCTGCTATTTGAGGTGCTTGAAACAAAACTGAGAGAATCCTGAGAAAAGTGAGACCTGTCACTTGAACAAGCCATCTGAATTGTTCCACTGCAGTTTCTTTGTCAGGATATAAGATATACTGATGATATGAGGATGCTCCAAAAGTAATGCCTTCTGTTTACTTCCATGGAAACTGCAACATCTACAAAGAGCACAATGACACTATTTGATAGAGCAAATTCTCAGCTGTAGAACAATATTTTTCAACACAGTCACCACCAGTTGCTGTGCATTTTCACCAGCAATGAACAGAAGCCTGCTTGCCACGCTCTTCAAAATTTGTACCAGCAGAGGTGGCCCACTTTCACTGTCCTCACTGCTGAAACCCACTGCTTCCCTGTGCTCACATCCACTGTTTGGTCTCTGTAAGTGTTCAGCAAGAACGGATGAAGATCAATGGGTACCACTTTTTCCACATCGAGGAATTCAATGTCACACCTGTGCTTCATCCACTCTTCCATGTCAGATGCCATTTTGTTACACTGCCCCTCTGCTGCCATCTGTCCCATGGCAACATGTTATGCAACAGTGATGGAAAGTTTCAACCCCTACCGCTGTACCAACAACATCATCTGCCTCTTGTTCTAGGCCAACATCATGAAATAGGAGGCATTGCTTTCAAAGCGAACCTTGTAGTTTAGAAGGCTAACAGACTGTTTAATTAAATTTCAGATATGTGATGATAAACAACCAAAGTGATTCTGAACTTCACATCAAGGGATATAATAGAAGGATGAAGGGTGTGAAAACAGTATGGCCAAAGCCCTAGAAATATCCTATCTAGATTTCATAATGGCTGAGGGTACAGAGGTGCTCTCTAGCTGGTGACTGGGCTCTGCCTGCAGTTTTCTTTTCCTTCCCTTTCCTCTGAGCAAGATAGGCCTTGGGGCCTGCTGGAATGTGCCTTGTGGAGCTCTTTAATTTTTGCCTCTTGTGTGGGTCTAGTCAGCAGCTCAGGCTGCCTCAGTAGACCTCTGCTGGGCTATGGATGTAATCGTGGTGCCATTTTGGCTGCTGTGCAGTAGCCAGGTGAGGGGCTTGTGCTGGTGGGCTTGCGAGAAGGCAGATCTGGGGTCCACAAAGGAGCTGATTGGCAAACCTTGGACTAGAAAGATACTTGTTTGAAGAGGCATGTGGAGGTGTGGGGCTTCCTACCGTGTGGACTAATTCAGGATAATGAAGTCATACCAGTTGTACTAAAATTGCTTTTAGAATTGTATCTAGGTAGTATGGTACAAATATTTAACAATTTAAACTTAACTTACATTAGAATAGTTTAAATGTGGTGTTTGAAGAGCTGTAATTATCTATTTGCCCTAGAAATTCATGGTGATTTGCTGTGATCAATTTTAAATTGGTCATAATTCAACCATGAACTTCTATTTTTATCAGACAAGGCCTGCGGCTGGCCTTTGTAAACTGTGATAAAATATATCCAGTCTTAGAATGACTTCTTTTGTGTGATGGATTTCTTCTGCTGAAGGCCAATTTTGACCATTATTTTGTATATAAAAGAATTAAATTCTGAAGAACACTCTGTTCAATTTTTGTTCCCTTACATCAAGAATAGTTTCTATTTGTTATAATTTCTATTAAATTACTCCCAGTAGAGCATTTTCATTGTCTTTTTATGTTAGACAGGTTGATGGACTCTATGACCTTCTTTATTTCTGACTTCTGGGAGGTTTTTTTCCTCTAACAAGAGAGAGTGTGAGACAGCTGGGCTACCCTAGTTTATGCAATAGGAAGCAAAATACAGAAACAACTGCAGTTCCATAGTGAGCTGCTGGTATTGTAATATGTGGAACATGTTCAAGTTGCTTTCATTGAAGGTTACTTGGAGAAGACACAGTGAATGCTGAAAAAAGTCTGTTGGGAAAATTCAGGTTGAGTGCTTATATGTTTGTATACTGTGTCCTTCTAATGAGGTATGTTTTAGGCTTCTGTTAGGAGTTGCTGAGGTATTTAGAGTATGTACAAGTCTGTCAATATAAAAATCGACAAAAGGTTGTGATTGGAGGTGAATATTTAATGCATTTTTTGGGGGGGGGGGAAGAAGCAAAAATTGCCTTTTGGAATACCACTATGCCTGTGATCAGAATAATTCTGGTACCTGGGGTTCTGGCAGTGGATTCTGTTTCAATGAATAGAAGGCAGCTAATCCGGGGCATAATTCAGCTAGTCACTAGGTTCCTTTGAAGTGCTAGTCTTGCAAATAAGCCAGTTCAGTATGTTTTTGTGATACAAAATGGGTAATGGGCAGAGCTGATATTCTCCTGATTGTGTGCAAGATAGAAGAATGGAATACATTTTGAAGAGTAGTAAATCCTTAAGAAGCTGGGAGTAGTCCTCCTGTGATCTTTATCTTTGCCTCTTGGCATAGCAGACTTATTTAAATATATATATATGTATTTAAAATGGAGATAGCAAAAATAGAGTGCTACATTTTGATCTTTCAGTGATCTTTGTTTTTTTTTATCTTGATTCTTTCTATTGCACTCTAAAAGCAGCTAATCTGTGTTTTCATCTATATATATTGAATATACATGGGGAAATTTAGCTGTTGAGTGTAAGACCTTTTTACATAACATTGCAATAATGTTAGCAATCTTATGGTGGCATTAGTTTTCTCAGACTGAGAGTCCTGCATTCAAAACTTTAACACTTATTATTTGGGTGACAGGTAAAACAGTAAATGAAGGTCTATAAAATATCTCACTAGAATAACAGATATGCAGCCATAGATTTTTAAAGAGCTGCAGCTGTTCTGGAAGCTGAATTTGAAATACTTGTATTAATAAAACACCAGAGAACTAGGCATGAGCAGTAACAAGTTATGTGAAAAATTTTCTAGTGTTGTTCCCTTGTTTTTGATGCAGATTTGGTCTTATGTGATTGTATGTCTTTTCAGACATTGTTCTGTATCAGTGAGACTAAATAAGTTCTGTGCTGTGAGTGATCTGAGAATGAGAAATAGCAGAGCACAGCTACAGGCAGGAAGGCCACGGATTCATTGTGGGTTTGTGTCCTGTTGTATCAGCGAGTTCACTTAAAAGCAGGTGCAAGAAAGTGAGTGAATGCACACAGTTCTCTGGTAACACCTTATCACGTCTGTCTGCAATACAGGCAGCGTCTTTGTTTTGTTAAAGTGGAAACCGATGCATTGTCTGAAATTGCTGAATGCTACAATATATTACCCTTAAGAAACTGCAGAAGTGCTTTACTAACTTAATTTTTTTATTTTTTTTTATTTTTATTTATTTATTTATTTTTTTTTTTTTACCCCCTCCAGATGGTCTGGAGCACTTGATACCTTCTGGCTCTCTTCGTAAAAAGAAACTGGCAAAAAGACCTGGATACATGAGGCCAGAGGCTCAGCGACAGCTCCAATTTCAGTCCCTGGGTGCCTGCAAGTCCTTCAGTCCAGAGGAGTTCAAGCATGACAAGAGGCACTGTGAAGAGCTGGAGGACTTCTCTCTCTGCAGAGAACAGAAAAATAACGTTGAGTTCTTACGCTGTAGTTCAATTGCAAGTAGTGCTGTAGTTCTTGCTGATGGGGTAACAGCATTGGGCACTACTATAAATATGCCAGGAAGTTGCAAAAATTTCTCATGTTCCAAGAATCCATGGTCAGAAAACATAGCATCGATTTACCCTGCTGAAACAACAAGCAAAGGTGTTTCTGTAGTAAGTGGTACACAGCGGATGAACTGTGGAACTGAAGTGAGTGAGCCCCTAAAGATGCATGCCTTGGATCAGGCAGAAGTGAATAATAACTGTGAATATCAAAACAGGGAAGTTGTTTCTTGTTCTGGTGGTCCACGTGATAGTTTTCGTTCGAGTTTCAGCTTCATACAGCTCTCTCTGAATTCAGCCTCTGGAGTAAGTGATGCTGAACTCAAGACAGGTGTTCTGCATCCCAGCAGTGCCAGAGATCTGCAGGAGCCAGGAGAGGCAACAAAAACTCAGGAGCACTCAGGGGCTTTGTGTTGCTTCTCTAGGCTCAGTGAGGATTTGAAATCTGAAAATGAGAACACAGCAAATGATAAACTTCAGGATTGTGAGACCTTCTCTCTCTCTGATACGGACGCAACACTGTCATATTCTACAGATTCCTCAGATGTGGCATCTGCTGGCTCCTCTGCTACCTCAGGCTATGAAAGTAGTTTTACTGTCAGTGACCAAAACTGGGATACTTTGATAAAAAGGTATGAACCAGCACTACTGGACTGTCAGCTTGGCAACTGGAGTACAATAAAGGTTTGTAATCTCATTTCATCTTTGATTCCTCCTCTTGGCACCCAAAACATATATATTCGTAGTGTCAGCGTCTTAATTTAATGTGGGTATTGGGAAGTTAACAGGTTTCATGGTACTTTTCCATAGAAGCTTTCAGTATCTGTCTGCATGATAAAAATGAAGGAACCTGTGTGTTTTGTTTTTAAAAGAACCAAAACAAGAGAAACCCAACAAAATGATGATGTTGCAGTAATTGGCTCCTATGGCATACTGAGACTATGATCTTATTTCTACTGTCATACTTCAACTTCTGAATTTAGCAAGGGCTGCTTTCGCAGGTGGCTTTCTTGACTGCAGATTACTAGAGTGTATGTAGAGCAAAATTTGAAGGTGGTAACATCTTTTTTCCTTGAAGCATCATGATTTAATGAAACAGAACTTTGTAATTGAAAATGTGTAAATTTAGCCAAAGATTTCTAGGGGAAAGGCATATGTGTGAGGGTAGCCTTCAAACTAATACACAATTGCACTCCGCACAAGATGATAGATGGGGTTCCATTCCCTGCTCTAATTCAGGCTGGGAATTAAAATTTTTTTTTTCCTTCCCCCTTACAAGAGTTGTGGGCTGTTGATTAGAAGTCATTTTTTTGGATGTATGTGTGCGTATCCACACGTATACTTACCGTGTATACAAGTAGCCTCATTCACTGTATTCTTTGTGGGAGGGGAGTGGGGAGACTTTAACAAGGATCCATTATTCTTTTTATTGTACAGGAGGATTTTTTCTAATCTTTGATAGTTTTGGGGTAGCAGAGGAGCATCAGAAGAAAGCCATTGCTAGCCTAGATGCAACAAGGTGCCAAATTTTGGTTCTGTTGTGCACTCTGGAAGTGGTAATCTGGAGTTCAGTATGGACATGCTGGATCTCATGAATTTTAAAACTATTAAAATTCCTCTGAGTGTGGGTGGTGTGCTTGCTGAGCCTCTCACCGGTGCCCTTAGTGCCCTGGAGCAATGCCTGGGATGTGTGTACCTTACATGTAGAAAGGTCCACCAGTTCTGCCCATGCTATCTGTGTTAACCCTAGAATGAAAAGCCTTCAGAAAGCAGGCTCTTGTGACTTCTTAGCACAGGCGTATCTATTGAGATGCACTGTGTTGTCTTTAGGCCTAAGGAAGTAGGGTGGCTCTTCACAGCCCTTCTATCTGGGTAAAGCAGTATGCTGAGAAACATCATTCTTACTTTTTTGTCTGTGTCATCTGACCTGAGTTTACAACACTCTCTGATCCGTGTTTTTCATGGGGATGCATGTCGGACCCAAACTAAGTTCTCTTGCACACTTATACAGACTCTACATGCATTGCCATGGAGCAACTGTTTTGGCTTCAGGCCTGGAATGGCGATGTTCCCATAGTGTGGGATGACTTGGGAAATTAATTTTCTACGAATCTGGGAATGTATGACATAATAAAAATACAAAATGATTTTCTGTCTTTTTCACTCTGCTTATTTGATAGGCACAAAGAAACATTGCTATCTTTAATTTCTATATTCATTAATTCATTGAATGGAGAATTGGGGAATTGTGCCTTCAGATGTCTTTGCCTTGGTCCTGTGTGTTTAATTTGGAACACCTTCCTATTGCAGTGATAATGAGCAACTTTCAAACTTTTCAGAAGGGAACAAAGACAACTGTAGTCAGAAAAAGGAGACAGTACCAAAGCTGTTAAAACTATGCTTCTTCTGCACTCATTTTAATTAAAAAAAAAAAAAAAGAGGGTACTCATCACCTGGTACAGGTTTAGGACGTTCTGATCTGAAGCAGCTCCTTCAGCAGTCAAGCTCCAAATGTCTTTCTAGCCTGCAAACAGGAGAACTTGATTGTTGCACCATCAGTCACTTAGCCACAGGCATGGCTGTACTGCGGTACCCAAGCAGATTTTAAATGACCTGCCATTGGGAGTGCATGATGGAATAAACAGTGCAAAAAGCAGCAATGCTCTATTTGCAGTGTAAATGGTTGTTATATATCATATATATGAAAAAAGTGTCATTTGAACCATTTCTACTGTAAGCTTCTTTAGAATTCTATAAAAATATGGCATAAAATACAGAAAACGATTTATGGTGAGGATTCAGTACTTCTTCAGTTCCTTCTACATGTTATATGTTCATCGCCAGCCTCAGAGAAAAAACACTGATGTTTCTGTATGTGAAAAACAATACTACTGAAAATAAAACAAAAACAACAGAAATTTCGAGGGTAAGGGACTATGTGCAGTGGTTTGGTTTTTTTTTTTTTTTTTGCTTTCCTCCAGAGGATCCTAGAGCCTGCTATTAATCTAGCTTTTTTTCCCCCTCCTGCCGATACCTTTTATATATGTTTTCTGACCAGTCCATTTCACTACTATATTTGTAAGAGATGCAATTAATTTACATGTCTTGCCGTATTTGCACTGACTGTGTGTTGATGTGACAACTGAATGGTTCTAGTAAGTTGTTATACAGCTGCACCTCTTTTTCTGTATGCTATTTAGAGTTTTAACTATAATGATTTAAATACAAAAGTGCTTTAGGAAGGAGCAAAGTTTTTGTACACGCAGAATGCTTCAAGTATGAATTTTCTTGCTTTCCCAAGCACTTTCAGGCTTTGGACTATGAGGATATATGTTGATTCTTTTTCTGGGTTTACCTTTCTCAGTGCTGATAATGGCTTGTTGGTACAGGTCAAGTGTAAATTTAATAAGAAAACACTTCTCAAATTTATAACTGTGGCTGTGCTAGACTGTGACTGGAATGGGGCAATGAGGAAAGGACTGCATACCTTTAACCAAATTCTTGTAACAATAAAAACTGTTAATATCATATCCTTTGGATGCACACCTGCCCTTCTGAAATACTTTGGTAAAAGATGTAGATTCATTAGAGAGAAGCGTTTTCTTTTGAAAGAAAACTGTATCCTAGTAAGAATGTCTTTGGTGTGTAAAGGCACTTTCTGTGTGGTATAGGGTTTTTTTTTTTCTCACCCCTCCCACTTGTAATATGGGCATTTCTAAAAATGCGAACATCAGTGTTTTCTAGATAAGCTGAAAATATATTTTAATTAAACTTCATTGATTGCAATTGAGCACAGTTCTCTCTGTCTTAATCTGAGTATTCTCGATCCAAAATATCCATCCTACAATTCTCTTTTTGTTTGCATACTGAAATTCTGGATGTTGTCCGTGCAAAACTTGTACAGCCACAAAATTAAGTGGGCTAGAGAACAGAACACTGAGTTAGAATGGGATCAGAAGTAGATGCTAGGTTGACAGAATCCTATAATAATCCTTACTTGGAAAAGGGTGAAAAATATCCTATGATCGCACAATCTGTTTTGCTTTTCAAGAAAAGCTGTTGATGTCCCTTGTAGATGTTTGGACCAAAGCCATTCTTGACTGAAGTGGCTGCAGTTCAGCTGATTTCAGTAGGTCTGTCTACTTAACAAATGTGAGGTTTAATTCTCAAGGTCATTCTAGTGAGGTAATAGTAATTCTGTAGATTTATATTATGTAGAGATTAATAGTGATTCTTACATGTAACTTCTATATAACTAACTTTTTTTTCTATGCACAGGTAAAATCCATGATATTACGGATTCAGAGGCTTCAGCAGAAAGCAATAGAAGCAGATGATTATGATAGAGGTGAGAGTTGCCCCCTCCTTCCTCCCCTGAATCATGCTGCTTCCTCTCATTCCACTCCTCCCCCAATTAATTTTATTTTGTATTTTTTACACTGCAGTGGTTAAGTATGGAAGACGAGTTCAATGAACTCTATTGTTCATTCTATAATGTGGCAGGAAACAAATTAAAGGGAGAAGTAGGTCAGCAGCAGGTAGCAACAGTTTTTATTTTCTTGAGCAACATCACCATGTGGGAAGGTTGAAATGCGAATAGCCACCATCTGGATCAGCTGTTATGAAGCAGCATGACTTTAAAAAATACAGAAATGAATTAAAGCTTTGAAAAGAGAAAGGACAGGCCCTGGCTGCTGACAGGGTGCGATTTGTTGCTTGCCACATTTAGTCATGACACTACAGCAGAGCTCTAACACAGAAAAATGAGGTCAGTAGCTATAATAAAAGTGAATGATACTGTCCTGTGGGATTAACTTGATGTCCACTGAGTTGAATAAAAAGCACCTAAAGAATGATGATACATCTGGTGTCGAGTATTTATATTTGAATAGTGCTTTTCAAATGGATTGGCACTTCTGATAAGCTGTGTGTTAATAATTAGAGCATCCATTAACATCTCAGGTTTCTTATTTTCTGGTATGGCAGTCTGTGTTCAGATAATCATATTTTGACAATCTTGAAGTTTCATCCTAGATGAAATTCTTCCCAGCAGATTTATCTTTGTTTGGAAAGTACTGCAAGTGTTTCAGTAAGCTGCATTGATAATTCAGAGAATGCAGGTGGAAAAATACAGTTTTACCCTTTCTCTCCATATTTTTCCTCAGTTTTTTTTGGGGGAATGGAGAGCACACCAACTTGCAGCTTTCCTATCAAAATTAATGTTTCGAGCTGTGCAGTTTTACCATGGGGTTTGAAAGACGTGGGAGGGAGGGAACATAACCAAGGTAACTCAAATGTGTTTTAACAGCGTCTGGGGAGTAGGTGGTTCTGCTGGCCTCTCAAAGCCTTGTCAGTATAGGAGACAAAAAAAAAAAAAAGTCTGCTAGTCTCACAAGTCATTCTTCTAGTATGATGTTTCCCAAAGGGGAAAACCTTTAGCTATGTTATCAGCTGAGCATATTGTAGACATTCATTGGTTTAATCTCTGTCAAACTGAATAGATGTTATTGATATGTGTTTTAACTATAGTATGCTTACTATTCTTTATGTGCCTTTTGATTGAGTTTCTGGTAGGAGACTTTCTGACAGCTGTGTACTAAGTGCATATGGTTCCTTCAGATTTTTAGCCAGAATTCACTGGGTACTCATCTAATTCAATTAAAAACAAACAAACATATCAGACTTAAGATCGGCGTGTGATGCCCTGTAGTTTTCTAGCTTTGCACAGAGAATTCTTGGGTAGTCTCCCTGGTTGCTAGTTTGGTCTATTCAAAACAGGACCACTGTTATGTTATCCCTGATTTTTATCAACTACCCTTTCCAGTTTCCACCCTGATTCTCACACGGGTAGCATGGAGGGCAATTGGCAGCCTTCTATTTATTTCCCTCAGGAAAATGGTCTGGATGAAAACTGATCTCATTGATCAGAATAAAAGCTGGACCAGGACAAAGGCGAAGAGGAGTATCTGAGGGTGGAATTGTTCTCTTTTTGCTAAGGCTGGCTCATATGGGTGGAAAGCATTTGTTATGTTACGTGTCTAGATACTGAGGCACCTGAAAGATTTTGTGTTGGGCTCCTGCATCTCTGAGAAGTGGAACGTTATCCTGATGCAAGTGCTCCTAGAAAATGCCATGTTACTGTGTAGTATGAGACTGTGTATCCTTAATTTTCTCCTCAGTTTTCGAGTCCTTGACCTACTTTCTATCTTATTGGTCTTAGCTCCTCTTCTAATATAACCATCAGCCGTTTTAATGTGTGTGAAACTACTTTTCATTATTATCCTGACACCTGAACTGACTTCTGAGTTTTTTCTCCTGTGAAACATAGGCAGATTATCTCCTGGGAAAGACATATATGGAGAAGTTGTGGCTCTGCAAGAAGAGTTGGAGCTGTGACACTTCCTTCCTCTTCCTGAGCTTTCCACCTTTGTGTTTAGAACTAAAGAGCCCCTGCTCTTAGAAGAATACAAAGACTTGAGTGGTGTAAAAGTATAGTTTGAAAGCTTATTACAGAGCTTACAGGTTGGCCCGGTACCAATTTTAGTTCAGCTGAAATTTGAAATTAGTCTTCTTTAAATGGGATTTTATTGCCAAATATTGCTATCAGGGAATGAAATAGCTAAATGTGCACAGCTATGCATAATGCTACGTTGTGTGCTCCTGCAAACATAGCATCTTGAAGTCAAATATCTGAATGACGTGAATGCTTTCCTGTTCTCCAGAGCTTTGTGAAAATTGCCATAGTTTCTAGTAAATCTTGAATCTGAAGTGCAAATAAAATGTTGCACCTACAGAGAAGGAGAAGTGGTGCACTGCTTTCTTTTCCCTTATGGTGCAAGAGACAGACTCAGAAATAACAGGAAGTTTCTCCCGCTGCACAGCCATAAACAAATACCTTGTTGCAAACAGGTAGGGACTAAGGATACATCACCTATTTCTTGAAGGTGAGATGATATTTTTTTTGTGAGGGATGTTTAGAACCACAACCCTCCACTGTCTGTGGGAGTCATGAGAGCTTGTTTAAATGCTATAAGCCTCAGCTTCCTCCCCTCAAGCTTAGGAGGAGCACAGCAGAAATGTCTTTGCCATTACTTGTTTGTGTTCTGTGCCTTCCTGAAGTCTTGCCGTGGTTAGAGGGTTTAATCAGTCATTCAAATAAGTGCAGTTTATTCCCATGCTTTCTGGCAGCGCTGTATGTTTGCACCCTGAAAGCAGCAGAGGCTCAGCTGGGGGCAGAGTCTTCCCTCCTGTCCCGCATCTGCTCCTCTGCTGCAGGTCACCAAATCAGAGGGGTGCTATGAGACCTGCGGGATGCCACCAAACTCCTCTCTTCATGCTCACTGAATGTGTGTTGTTTAAACACAGACGTTTCTTGTGTCAGATACATATATAAAGAAATGAACATCATCCTCAATCCTCACATAATTTTGATAGGAGACATCAGGGTTTTTCTTGGTTTTTTTTTTTTTTTTTGCTCACTCTGTGCCTCTGGGTGACTAAATATCTGGAAGTAGCTTAGTTGCTTCTGTATTTACTTGTGATCTCCTCTTGATGGCCACATTACTGTATATTTTCCAAGCAGGTACTATACCATGGGAACATGATAACAGCATTTTGCTTTGCATAGCATGTAGTAAAAATCAGTCTGTTCACCAAGGATCACTTGGAATGTTGTCATGGCTCATTATTTGTGATGGAACTTGGCAACTCCAAGGTTAAACATGTTGCTGAATGCAGGAGGGAAAAAAAGTATATTTTTGTATCTGTGGGAGCTGTGCTTGCAGTAGAAGCAAATGTATTTTGCTCAGTGCAAATCTTTTGCCTAAGCATTTTAAAGCCCTTTTCCTGTTCTTTCCTGTGGTTTCCCAACTTCCAAAGTTCACATGGTACAGATGGCAGAGGGGTTGGTGATACAGTGTCAAAACTGAGACTAGCTGCTGAACTACAGTACTGGCTCATGTGCCCTGGTGTTATTTCAGGTATAAGTATACACACAACTATTCTGTTTTCATTTTTAGGTTGGTCTTTCCAATTTTTTCTTTGTGTTTTGAAGAGGAAAAGTATTATTTTAGTTAAGTTTTATTTGTAATCATTGGTTTAAAACATTTAAACCAATTTGACTTTCAAGCGGGTGACAGGTATCTTGCTTTTTTCTTTTTCATTTCTTTTTTTTTTTTCTTTTTTTTTTGTTAATAGAACTATTTGTAGATGAAATTTTACTGTACTTGGAATAAGATGTTTTCTTGACAAGCAGTTTTCCTGATGGGACAGATAATGAATGCAAGTTAGCTTAGTAAGAATGAGGATCCTGGAGTTGCTTGGGTTGGAGGGACCTTAAAGACTATTCAGTCCCTATCCCCTGCTGCGGGCAGGGCTGCTGCCCACCAGATCAGGCTGCCCAGCACCACATCCAATCTGGCCTTGGATGTATCCTATAGTTAGGATAGCATGTACTTCCAGAAGTAGAATCCTTAAACTTAGCTGCATATTGAAAAAAGCATGAATTGTGATGCTACTGATGAGGTAGAAGATGGTGGACACCTTGTTTGTTTGTTTTTTAATCTTACTGGAATAAAGTTTTTAAGGGGGTGGGGGAGAAGATAATTTGCTCAAGCAAATAATCAGAATCAAATCATCTTTGTATTAACTTGCTTATCCTGTCTTTGAAAAATTCATATAACCTCAGAAAAGGTTTTGCGTGATTATGGAAAGCAGGTGCTTGTTTGAAGTGTGTGAATAAATTAAACCTGATTTTCTATGCAACAGAATAGCAACCTCACAACTCTTCCATCTTGTCTGAGTTTCTTTGTTTAAGACACCAGTCTGAAAATGAAATTGTACATTTTTTTTTTTTTAGAAATATCCATACCCATTTATTATTTGTCATGTCTGTTGTTCTTTTTTATTTCACAGAGTTGAAAAAGGAATTGAGTTAGTTACAATTTAAAGGTGTGAAACTCCTTATCGTGCTGTCAGACAGCAGGAAAAACCCTGACTTTATGTTTAAATGTAGTGGTTATTACTAGAGGTGTAGCACACGCATGGTCAGCAACTTCTGGATGCACTTTGGATGAGTCCTCTCAGTTTAGCTCTGTTGCTCAGTGTCTGCCATGCCTCCCTGAGGCAGAACAGGATCTTGCTATTGGTTGGTTCATGCCCACACTTAGAAAATGCACCCACGTTTTCTTTATCTGTAATCCCTTAGTCAATATTGAAGAGGAATTTACTTTAGTAGCGCAATATCTGCAGCCCAAATGTTTTTTAGGAAGCAGCAGTATTTTATGGGTTTCTACTATGTCCTCTTTTAATTTGGCCAGTGTAGAAAGATTCAGCTACATTTTGGGCTTC